GGGAAAAAGTCTGTTATCAGGCTTCTATTTCAGTTTGTTTTTGTATCAGATTCTTTGGGCTTAATGAACTTACTCTCAGGTATTATGTGTCCATTGCAAAATAATACAGAGGATCTTATGTCTATTGAGGCCGTGGCACTCAAGGCTATAGATGTTCTCCTTGCTCCCTTTCCCATAGATCATGATAAAAGTGCCTGTGGTCAGGTGCCTTCAAAGAATCATTCAATACTGAAAGGTCAAACATCAGCATTATACTATAGTAGTCATATAACGTCACTGACTCAGCTGGAACCACTTGATGTTACAAGTTGAGTACTCTGTGACTCTCTATACTCAACTGGTTGGTTGAAGCAAAATCTTGGTCTGGATCTCCACCTCTGCAATTTAACTGAGCAGAAGTCTTACTGATGAGCCATTTCCTCCCGGTCTTGAGGCATCTGTTCAAATGAATGTCCCTTCTGGGATGGGCAATAGGCAACAAGAAAAAAGTTTATTTACATTTCACATTATGTTGGGCACTACGGGAAGTGCTACTTATCAGCCGTCACTGTTCAAAGACATTATTAAATTGGTACAGCATGCAAGAAGAAGAATGGATGAAGAATAATTGTATTTGGATTGATATCCTTATACTTATTAGCCATTAACCTTGTTCAAGCTATCACCAGAGAATTGTATGCAGAATAATAATGTTTCCCCTCCCTGCATATGCTGAGTAAAACCACATTTGGCAAGAAGAACACCCAGAGCTAATGGGGTAAGCCAGGCTCCTGTTTCTGACCACCTTCAGAGGTCTGCCTTGAAGCCTACGACTGCTTCTGCATATATGGCACTTTCTCATATGCCAGGTACATTGCCTGAGGTGATGCCGTGCTCAGTATTCCTTATAAGTGACCCTTTGTTGCCATAAGTCTTGGGATAGCATGTTAGCATAATAACCTTGGGATCTTCTGCTAAGTATCGTCTATCTTCACACATGCCATTGTGGGCGAAGAGAATCGAGCCTGATTTCCGATACTCCAGGATTTATTTCAAAGTTAATGAATTTATTTCAAAGTAAAAAACAATTAACGGATAAAGTACCGATTTCATTGACATGGCCATAAAATTTGAATGCTCTTGATGTTAAGGGATCAGTTGTTAAGATTGTAGCCTGTAGCTTTTAGTGCTGCAATGTAGCATTGGTTCAAATGTCAAAGAAATGGGTTGGGTGGATGAAAATGTATGAACATGAGAACTTTTCTTCTTTCTTCCACCTGTTTTTCTTCTCCTCCTTGTAGCACCAGCACAGACCACAGAGCAGCAATAATGTTCGATTGTTGACCTGGCCATCTGCTGAGGGACCTCTGAGTTTGTGCCTGAGGGCTCCTACCAGCTGGAAACCCAAAGCCTTGTTCCTCAGTCTAAGATCTTCCCGGAATCTTGAGATTGTAATGTGATTGGTCCATCCTCTCCTGCTCTTGTTTAGACAGGGCATAATCTTTTACTGCAGGGTTAGCAGCATCCAAAGCAGGGTGTACCACAAAGATCTTTTTACTCAAAGATGTTGAATAGATCAGAAGAGATGTTACCATATCCTCAAAAATATAATACCTTATCCTCCTGATGTTATACCTTATAACCATATCCTACATCAAGAACAGACTTTAATTTACACCTTTTTGTTAGATGAGGTATTCTAGCCTGGTCATCATCAACGATGAGAGGATCAACAATATTTTTTCATTTGTTTTCTGAGGGCTATTTGGGAAAATTCACAGACCAGCCTTGTTGTGAATCTGGACAATAGTGTTTACTGAGATGTTGACTGAGTCTTTTCCAATCACTATTCAATATATTCAATATTCCATTTACAAAGGCTGTTTAAATGCCCCTGCTTCAGCCTGTTTGGGTCATGTTTCTCAAGGCTTTCAATTAACATCCAAAAATTTTATGAATGAAATAAAATGAATCCCCATCTAAGAACTGCAAAAACAAACTCCAGGCCATTAAACCAGACAGCCTGAAGTTTTTTGCGTCCCTGACACTGATGTGCCCTCGAGCTTCCATGTATGTGGTCTGTCCTTCCTGAAACTGGACTTTCCTGCCCCATAAAAGGAGCCTTTCATTGGCCTGTGAGTGTGGGTGGTAGGCATGTGCAAAGCCCTCAGTCTGCTCAGAGGCAAAGGAAGCATGAAGCAGCCTCCGTCCGTGTCCCCGGGGCCGCTGCCGGCCGGCCTGCCCCTTTGGCCGCTTCCCCGGTATTTCACAGAGTGTCTGGGTGCCACCAACCACCGCAGGGTTCCTTGCTGTAATCTGAGATCAGATGGAGCCAGAGCGAAATGCCATTCCAATACCAAGGCGGTGTCCGTGCCAAGTCCCTCAAAGAGCCCCTGGGCACAAAGCTCGCTACTGTGAGCTAGCAGAGGAACCGGGGCTTTGTGCTGATACCTATGAAGACAGAACTCGGTCTTGGAGAAGCACAGATGCTGAGTGAGCGTGTCTGTGTGGGCCACTCTAGCCGCTGTACATTCCCAAGAGGCATTTCATACCGAGATGACAGAGCACATTCCAGTTACTCTCGCTCTCAGGGCTCCACATGTCACTGTACACAGTGGCCACTGCTTATCTGACATATTGTTAAACATGAGTAGCAGGTACAGCAAATGCTGTTTATGAAGTGATAATGTGAGGTAATTTGCTGTCCCATAGCAAGTTAGCTAATACCTCCAAAAATCACAGGAGCAACCTTGGCTTCTGACCTTACTATTGACATGGTTATATTGTTGCAATTTTATTCGCAGCAACCGATTGGTAATTTATAATCTGTTTTTGTAAACATAAGACATTAATTCATGGCCAGCCTTGGGAAAACCTTAATACAGTACAGTGCTGAAGGAGACTACAATGTGGATCTGATCAACCAAAATGTTATATATCTAAGATGGTAATCTGACAGGCAATTTAGTCCAATGTTAGTCTATGCTTACCTGTTAGCTTGAAGGCAGCCATCTCAGAGAGGTTGTCCTGTCTTGTCTTGTTTGTCTTGTTCTTGGAACGTGTTGAGCTGTCAACTGTTTTTGTATTGACTATGTAGCAACACCTTGAAGAGATTTGGAATCACATTCCTGGTTTGTGGTGCTTTGCCCTGGAAAACCTCGGGCTGGGCAATATGGCAAATTTTTTTAACATAATTCATTTCATATTAAGTGATATCGATAATTATGACAATATAATTCAAGTTGTTATTTCTTTACTTAAATGCCCAATTTTCCTTAAAATTCATTCAGAAATGACAAGTGGTTTTGAGTTTTTCTGATCATCATGACCACATTGTTTTACTAATTGTTATGGAGCATGTGACAGGTATTAAGCTAAATTACAGCAACAACAGACTCATATCTTGAAGCAGTTTGTGCAAAAATAACGCATTACAGCTGTCAGTTATACAAGAAAACAAGCTGTATCATGTTTCACACAAAACTGATGACGATAGGAATGTCCATAATCAAAATGCGATATTTTATTGAAATATCGCCGAATATTGGAAAGACCATAATGTGAACTTTATGGTTTCCATCCTTGCAGTCTCATTAATGTTGCCATACAGCTAAACATCATGATGTTCCCTGCCAGCCCCTGGAGGATGGGCTCCCCCTTTGAGTCTGGCTCCTCCCAAGGATTCTTCCTTCTAGGGAGTTTTTCCTTGCCACTGTCGCCTATGGCTTGCTCACTGGGGGTTTTGAGCGGGGATGCTGTAAAGCGCTTTGAGACGATGTAATGTTGTGAAAACACGCTATACAGATAAAATTGAATTGAATTGAACATATGCATACATGATGCCTCTAGAATGAGAATATAAATAACCAGGCAGTTAGCTCAGAAAAATTGTTGTAGTTCATAACTATATATACAGAATCATCATTCTGCAGGGGGCCACTAGAGATTTTGGGGCCCATGAAAGCATATTATTTTAGACCCCCAATCTAGACCAGTCCTATTATTTTCCAAATAGGGCCCCTGTATTTTCCAATTGGGGCCCCTGTTACTCTGCCCCCCCCCCTTATGGTACCCCTACTTTTAAGTACATTGTGCTTTTCTAATAAAAAAAAAAATCCAGTATATATGTCAGACTCTTTAGGATGGTCACTTGTTCTTCACCAAGTATTTGTAGAAGAAAATCTACAATTTCTGGGAAAGGGAATATCATAAAAAAATAATGCAAGCTTCTCAGAAACTAGCTATGAATCTGACTGCAGGGGAGGGGCGTTACTAATATCAAACATGTGCAACCTCATTGATCCCAAACGCTTGACTGCTTAAAAATGACTCCAGTTGTATCAGAAAGTGCTAGAGTTGATCCCTGCTCAGATGAAAGCACTTCAGGAGTACTGAGTGAAGACCATGATGTGAGGTTTGCATGGTTCCAAGAATGAGACATTTTTATAATAGAGATGTTCTGGAAGAAGACCTACGAGAATGGTTAGTTTTTAGTCTGATTGCATGTTTAGTTGTCTACAGTATGGAAGGGCACTCTCTGCACCAAAACAAATTCCAAATACTTCTTGTACTAGGTGAATAAAAAAGATTCTGCTTCTGAATCCAATCCCCTTGATTTGTTCTTGAAAACAAAAACATACAAAAACAGGGCAGGAACTGAAAGGCACCTTGTCAGAGTGTTTGCTCTCTCTTTTGGTTCTTATTTGCTCTGGCTGTCACTCTCGGTGGTATTGACTCACAGAACACCTTGGTAGATGTAATTATGGAAAATTAATAACTCATTATGATTGAATATCTTGTATATTCCCTGGTTTGACACTTGGAAATGTGTGCAAATGTGCCTAAAATATGCTTAAAGATTTCCAACTGAATTGAATTCAATTCATAGAAAGTATGTCTATATTCATATCTTATCTTATCTGAGAGAAAAAGCAAAGACCTCAGGTTCTGAGATTACATAAAGCTATAAAGGCTTTCAGCTTGCTGATTTCTCAGATTTCTCAGAATTGTTCTGGAGAACCATGATGAGGTGTCTGATTCTCAGCTTGGTGTGTGTAGCCCTCACAGAGGGACTCGTCAGGTAAGAGTGCATGTCAGGGGTTCAGGTTTTGGAGAGGGATGCTTTTAAACTATGTGGCATGTGCATTGGTGATGGGATTATGGAGATGGTCTTGTTGGAGACTCTAATAATGGATAATGGGATGGATGGATTCATGTTTCCCTTCTCAGGGTTCCTCTGTTGAAGCGGGGAACCTTGTATGAAAAGCTGCGTGAGCGAGGCAAGCTGCAGGAATTGCTAAAGAGCATGCAGTACAGCTCTGGAGGAGCCTACAATGTGGACCTGATCAACCAAAACGATGTAAGCCTAAAATGGTAATCTGAACTGTGAATTTCATTCCAATCCAGCTTTCCTGCAGGTAACATGAGCTGTTGCAGATTAGACAGTCACATGTCAATGAAATTAGATTATTTTCAGAAACACATAACGTTGTATTTATTTAGCAGATGCTTTTATTCAAGGCAACATACATTTGCTCAAGGGTCCAATGCTGAAATCACTCTGCTACCCTGGGGGATTTGAACCATTGACTTCCTAAGCAGATATGGCCCAAGACAGATGTCGCACTTGATCTAAGCCAACAGGCTGCAAAGACTCTTTTGTAAATAAAACACAAATATTTAGAATCAAGTAAAGTGAGAAATCACAGATCATATGTCACTGCAAACCTAAAACTCACAAACTAATTGGTGTTCTCTTTGTTATTAATCTCTACTGTCCACAGATGTCCTATTTTGGTGAAATTAATGTGGGGACGCCTCCACAGAGCTTCTACGTCCACTTTGACACAGGGTCTACTACGCTTTGGGTCAACTCTGTCTACTGCAAGAGCAGTGCCTGCTGTGAGTATGGCATTAGCTCTAACTAATACCTGCTCACTATTCATACACAACCAAAGAGAACTGCTGTGGTATGAAGGGTAGGTACATGTTGCTCGATTAAAATCTGAATATAATATAAACCTGCTCTTTGTTGACTAATCTCTGGTTAAATTTCAGATCTATGTAATTTTTCCAGTTGCGCAATCAGTACAAGTGAGCAGTACACCTTGGTTACCATGTGCAAGCTCCTTGCATTTTTGTAGCGTTACTAGCGTTCGATTGTACCCACTCGTTATTGTGTTAATAAATAAAATGATATGACAATGAATGCAATGTAAAATGGGTCGTACTGGGTCCATGCGTACCATTACTTCACAATGCAATACAGTATCAGGTTGCACCTGATCTACTGATGGATTAAACTTTGTTTCCTAACAGTAAATCATGATCTGTTTGACCCTGATAAGTCCTCCACGTATCATAGCAACGGTGAGCCATTTTCTATCCATTATGGAACAGGAAGCGTCACTGGAGTCATCGGCTATGACACAGTCAAAGTAAGCATAACCATCTGAGGAAGAAGCTTATGTTGAGTATATTCTTCAAAACTCATATGTTCTATGAATGTTTCTCAGCTTGGTGACCTAACAGTCACAGATCAGAAGATTGGCCTGAGTATTACAGAGCCTGGTGACCACTTTGCTCGACCTCTGCATGAGGGAATTATGGGATTGGCCTACATGCCTGACAAACAAACCATTGTGGACACAATGATCAAGGAAGGTCTTTTGGAGGAACCTGTCTTTGCTTTCTACCTGAGCCAGTGAGTCTTAATAATAATATTTCAAACATAAAAGTAGCATGTACACACTGGTGATGTAAATTATTAATTGTCTAATGAACTGTTTCTCCTTTCTAGAAACTCAGAGAAGGGCAGCGAAGTGATTTTTGGGGGCACAGACCCAAACCACTATACTGGGGAAATTCACTGGGTTCCTGTGGAAGAAAACAGCCACTGGAAGCTGGTTATTGATGAGTGAGTCTTCTGAGCAGAGAAATGATTGTTTGGGTGGAATGGTTCTGTTACTCCACAGAGTAGCCACTGATGTCAGCCATTTTAAACTGCCGCTCAAATTCTCGAAAAAAATTACATATAATATATAATTCAGTGACAATTCTCCACAAAGCATTATACAATTTATAGCAGCAGTGATGCACACTATCCAAGAACAGTTGAATTCATTTACACTGCCAAGCTTTTCTGCTAATATGTTGCAGATTTGAGGTGGACCATCATATGACTGGCTGGTGCGTTAATGGCTGTTCTGCCATCGTGGACACAGGAACTTCATTGCTGGTCTGCCCTGAAGAATTTGCAGATACACTGCAACACAAGCTGGGAGCTGTGGTGAACGACGACGGAAGCGTGAGAAACTCCTTTTATCTTCCTATTTGCTCCACAAATCCCAAATTATAATGCCAATAAGTCTAATAACCCGTTGACCAGTGAGTTTCCCGTTTCCAGTACGTCTTTAACTGTGATGACGTGAACAGCCTGCCCACACTGACCTTCGTCATGAACGGAGCCCACCTCCATCTGGAACCTTCTTATTATGTGCTGTCGGTGAGGATCAATTACAGATTTTATGCCGATGTCTGTGATTAGTGCGATAATTTGTGGTTGTGATCATTAGGCCAATGACTAACGAGTGAGGTGATTAGTGCAATAACTTGTGATTTTGGTTCCAGGAGCAAGACTCCAATGGAAATTGCATAAGTGGGATCGAGTCATCTCATTCAAGTAATGATGGAGAGATGCCCCACTGGGTTCTGGGAGATGTCTTCCTCAGACAGTTCTACTCTGTGTTTGACCAAGGAAATGGCAGGGTTGGCTTTGCTACACTGGCTTAGACTCCATCAGGGTGAAAATTTGTACTTCATCATTAAAACTTCCTGATTAAATCATCAAACAAAATTGTGTCCATTGCACTTTCATTTATCTGTTGTTTTTTTTTTTTTTAAACAAATCTAATTTCTTCGGCTTAAATGTAAATATCCCTGGAGTTATAGTCTCTGTAGAAGATGAAGTGGAAGTGTGGAAACCCATCCTTTAAACCCATCCTTTAAAACAATGTTCCTAAACCCAAGCCTGACCCCCATACAATCTACATTTCTCAGGGGTGTAAGCAGCCTATTAGATTAATCTTCACAAGCATAATACACTCTCAGAAAAAAGGGTAAAAATCTGTACCTTTGCTTGTCAGTGGGGCTGTACCCTTATAATTGTACCTTTTGAGATACAGACTCTGAGGAACATCCCAAAGGTACAATTACCTACAGCTGAAGGTACAACTAGCAGACCGTTAAGGGTACAGCCCCAGTGACAAGCAAAGGTACAAATTTTTACCCTTTTTTCTGAGAGTGTATCACATAAACCCATTGACAAATTATGCCTGCACCCAGAGAAATGCAATCATTGCTAATATGTTTAAATATGCTTAAAAGCTGAATGGAAAAGGTATTTGTTCAATAAAATAATTTATTGAGGAATGTACTACTTGTGTATTTGATGTCAAAATTGAGTGTGCGTGCATGTGTGTGTGTGTGTGTGTGTATTTGTCGGTGATATATATACTACATTGTGGGGACCAAATGATCCCACAATAAAATAAAAACTGTTTTTTTTTACGCTCTGGGGACTATTTCTGTGATCCCCACAAAGGGAAACTCAATTTTATAAAAACCTGTAAATGAAATCAAAAGACTAAAAATGTCTAGAGCGTTGTATTTTGTTTAATTATAATTAAGGTTAGGGCTAGGCAGGGGTTAAGGTTATCATTGGTGTGATTAGGGTTTTGCCCATAGAAATGAATGGAGAGTCCCCACAAGGATATGAATATACAGTAAGCATGTGTGTGTGTTGGGGGGGGGAGGGTGTCAGGGGTTAAACAATGATAGAATTGTTCATTAACATTAGTGACTGTCAATCAAGAAAATCCATTCAAATTTGCAACTTTATACCTGGTACAGGAGTGTTGGGAGCTGAGAGGGAGCAAAAATGTGGACTGTCTGGGGTCCCTCTGGACTGGGTTGAGTTGCACTGCTTGAAAAAGGCAAAAACACAGGAAGAGAAATGCCAATAACTGAGATGATTTGCCTCGGCCTGTCATGATTCTCTCACAGGAAGAGAAACAAAGGGATCTTCCCCCTGCATGTATTCAGAGTAAATGCGGCATGTCAAGAGGGGATTTTATTACCTCCTCAGGGGAAACATTCTCCCAGTAATGAAAACATGACCACGCTCTTGTTTCACACAAACTGTCTCACCTATTAATGACTGTCCTATTGATGAAAAATCTGAAAAATAATATGAGAGTTCAGAGTAGCCACAAACAGCACCAATGAATGCCTTTCTCAAATGGTTTTAGGGGTGATGGACAAGATCACAAAGCAGGCATGTGGAGGAAGTCAAGGGGCCTAAACTGGGCCGAACCTGCAGCTGAACGACGTGTGTGTCCTGGGGGACGAGAAAATTCCCGCTGAAGGAGAGAATAAACAAAAATGCAGCACAAAGACCACATTCAACAAGTCAGAGAAAAGCAAAGTACAAGAAAAGGATAAAGAAAGCACATTATTCACACCTTTACTTTCAAAATTAGCTTAGCGATGAGATCCTTATATTTTGTATAAAATGTACAAACAGCCACAATGCCAGGGGTGTAGTTGGTTTTCTTTATTTATTAATGCCATTCGGAAAATTTCATTCGAATTAAAGCTGCTCTTTGTGACTGTTGTGTGTTGTAGTATCTCATTATCTTGCGCTGACGTTCTCTTTGTGAGACACGTTCCGCATCAGTGATTTTACCATGCTCATTGGGGAAACAAAGTCCGTGCATTTTTCTTCAACCAGTAAAGAGCCACCGGAGGTCTTTCAGCTCTTCCTCGGCTGTGCTTTGAATGACAGTCTTGGACACGGCACAAAATCCTTAGATATTCGTTGCCAGTCTATTTGTTGACGGTGCCTTACTACAAACTGGCGTGTGAAGAGAATGCAAACCTAACTTTTCAATTGCATAACATGAGCAGATGTTCACATTTCATTTGGACCAGAATTCGCTTACAATGCCTTACAAGTGTCAGGGACTGATCTGGGTTGGGGACCCGATATGATGTGCTTTCATGGGGACCAAAATCTCTAGCAGCACCCCTTTTTCAGATATCCAAGGGTGTATATTTGGGGAAGGATGCTAGGAACAAATCCTTACCAATATTTTGGTTGTATCATGTGTGTTTACTGGAGTGTGGCGTTCATGGTCGATTTGGTCACTACCAATGTTGCAACCAAACCTATGCTCTTGCCGACATCGGTTACTTTTTGATACTTTTGGAGTCAGAATTTTAAAGGTATGCACCTTTTCCCAAGCACAGACATAGGAAAACAAGAGAGCAAGACTGCTGAGCCTAGATGAGACTGATGTTCACACAGAGGGAGCAGCCAGTCTGATGAACTGTCTCACCAGGATGTGAGGTTATTTGTCACATGGCTGCAGCATGTCACACTGGGGCTCTGCTTTGGTGCTGTCAGCCTCGTCACAAGGAAGCTTCAATGCCACGCTGCAGTTTTGCCAAAAGATTGTGAGTGCAGAAATTCTGATTGTGGCTCTTTGGTCAGAAGGTCATTAGTTCTAATCCTGTGGCTGGGAGAGTGATGTCGCTGTTGGGCCTTGGAGCAAGGATCTTCACCCCAATTGCTCTAGGGACACTGGGCAGCCCTGCTTTCTCATCAGCACTTATACCTCACTTTAGACAAAAGTGTCCCTAAAATAAGTAAATGTAACGCTATATATCTGATTCATCACATAAAAGGGATTTTACATGTGATGGAAAGCCATGAATTCTGTCACAGAAAATGTCTGTTTTCAAATTTGTCTAAAAAAAACTAAAGTATATTTAAACATCTCTTAATGTAAGTATACAATTCATTAAAGATCTCTTAAAGTTTTAAACCTGTGTTCGCAGTTGGCTTTTTGTGTTCCTGCCATGAATTACCCTTTTTGGAGAGACATGGCTGCAGTCCTGGGAGACCCAGAGAATGTCACTCTGAGAACAAACTGATTAAAAGAAGACTAAGGGAAGACTGGGACTGGATGTTTTTACTTCTTTGAGACATAATGAGAATGACTGGGAAAGACAAATTTCAGGGGGAGGGGCATTCCCAAAGCTCCCATCCAATCACACGCAGGGGAGAGACAGGCTGCCTATCAGCTGCTTTCACAAAGTGTGTGGGGAGGAGTAAGCGTTATCTGAAGAAGGGATCTAAAAACAACACAGACTTCCTCCCACAGGACAAATGCTGTTTGGGGCATCAAGGGTGGGCTGTGGTCGGTGCTAAAGGTCACATGGTTTCAGTACTCAGATTAAACAGCGGAGCCTACCTACCTCTGCATTTTAGAAATCAGGACAAGTGACATTCACTAACATTAAAATCATTTACCTGGTGTTTCATTAATTTGGTTTTGCTTAAACAGCTCTCTTCACCAGAGAGGTTTCAGTGAAATTTGATTGTATGGTAAATGGGCAGACAAATTACTTGGTGAAAACTGAAATCACAAGGATGCACGAAACGTTCTGGAGCCTCCAAGACTAAAGAAGTCTGGACAAGTTGAAACCACTAGAAAGCTAGAAATGCACCCTGAATTTAAAGGCAACACGCAAACTCATTCATTCACCCGCGAGTGAATTAAGTTAGCGGGTGCTGCGCTACATGTGCGGTCTGCCCATCGCTTCGAATGTATGAGGCTCCTGTTCGTCACTGTTACATTTAATTTCTGGCTAAAATAATGCAAAAGCTCATTAATAGGAGGCAGGAAACGGGGTTTCGTTCATGGCACTACAGTGTAGGCCAATATGTAAGTAATTTCCAGAATAATATGAAAAACAGTTTTCGCTTTTACCGTCTGAAATGCGAAAGAAAATTATTCGATTAGCATCTGTTTCAAATGAATGCGTGGGTATCTGTAAGATTTCAGTTTAATTTGGCCTTTCAATCTGTTGTCAAAACCGCAGCGCGTCCCGGTTTAGTTTACAAACACTGTTTCAAACCCGTAGTCTCGAACCCCCTTTGGTTACCTTGGGCAGGAGCCTCATTTGCTCTAGCCTATCTTTTTCCCCTCATGCCGATCGTAAGGCATCTGCAGCAGATCGTCTTCACAGCAAATGAAACTCACTGTACATCCCATCCAGGCAGATTGTGCTGTTTACCCATTCAGTATAGCAAGATCCAGCGGGGGAAAGTCCTGTTTCCTTCGGTGTCCCATAAGAAACATGCGCAATATGAAAAGCGCAACCCCTCCTCCGCACACGCAGGTAAGGCTGAGTAGAAAAGCCCGTCTCAAAGTGTCCGAAGAGGATATTCAACACGGACCCGCATTTAAAAACCTGTTGCTCTTAGAATTAAGGATTTAAGACAATTTCAGTAAGCCATCTCTCAGATAATAATAATAATAATAATAATAATAATAATAATAATAATAATAAGGAGAAGAAGAAGAAGAAAACGTGTTTAAAATCCGGGATGTAGCCTACATGTCATTCAACGCCTCGCAGTTTTCCCTCCATAAACCTGGCTCCGCTCCGCATTAGGAAAGGCGCACATTATTTGCGCTACGGTTTCATGTGATACAACAATAGTGCTTTATAGGCCTGCTTAATCTACTAATATGATCGATACAGCTTCATTATGTCTGATATTCATATAAATAATGCCTTCTCGATGTATTTTTTAATGTAATGAAATGTTCTTAATTATCTCCAGGATATAATGCAATAAAAATAACCAAGAGAGAACATAACCATTCTGGCATCCATAGACATAACAAGTGTTTAAAATCGCAATTAGAGTAATGAGATTG